TTTCTCTCTCTCTCTCTCTGTCTCTCTCTCTCTCTCTCTCTCTCTCTCTCTCTCTCTCTCTCTCTCTCTCTCTCTCTCTCTCTCTCTCTCTCTCTCTCTATCAGGCTCTCAAAATCCGACAGGAAAGAGTTCCCCCTCTCCTTATTGTTGAAACAGCTACTAATCTCCGTTAGCTCCGAGCTAGCACCAAATGCTAACAACAACCCCCATAACTCTCTATGTCTCTCTCTCTTTCTATATCTCTCTCACAAGATGCGCTCGTGCCACACACACACAGACGCTCCTCCGTGACGATGACCGCTTGCGTAAAAAAATAAACACATTTAAAAGTGGGGGGGGGGGACACAAATGGGATTTTGAAAAGTGGGGGGGACATGTCCCCCCTGTCCCCAGTGGAAATTACGCCCATGTATATAGTATAAATAGAGTACAAAACTACACCACTGCAATGATGATGAATACAGTGTGGGAAAAATGATTGGGTTATTTTGTTACATTTTACATCCACTAATAATCAATATGTTTAATCTCTTTCATTATAATAAACATTTATATTTACCATATTTTTCAATGCACCTTTTCCTTCTGCTCTATATTTCTGTGTTTGACTCTTGCAGTATTTTGCCTGTATGTGTATTTCGTCATAATAAGTAATATGTTCATTGTATGCTTCAACACCTTCCAATTAAATAGCCTACTTGGTTATATTCTGATTCTGATTGTGTATTTTCTTTATTTCTCCTCCCAGGTAACGTGATGTCGTTCCCGGAGCCCAGACCTCAGGCTCCTCAGCTTCCTCAACACCTTCTGAGGAGCATCGACTGCCAAGAATTACACCAAACAAATACTGTATGTTTTGTGAAGTCAGTAGAATATGATTTGCAGGTAGGGATATCTCTGCAGCTCCACCATTCCTTGTTCAAATGTTGTATTTATTAACTCAAACCAATACAGAACAGAAAGAGAAAAAAGTAAACACATGAAGTACAGAACAAAAGAGAAGGGTCAGAATAACAGGTGCAAACAACAAAGCAAAATAGATAATTGCAATGAGTTGTGATGGTTATAAACTTAAAGAGTAACAAAGACATTTACAAATTCAATTGGTGATAATGGAACTTTTACATAACAAATATGGATGAATAAGAATGTGTGAACATTAAGGCCGTACACACACCAAAGAGACATTTACTTTACAGGCTCTTGGTAATGGTTTTCCATCAGTGAAATACGGCTCTTTACTGAAACCTAGTGGCAGCAGAATGAAACTGCAACTACATCAGCAAACACATGTGTCCTCTCCAATATCCCAATGTGCTTTTCAAAAACAACATTTATTTTGGAATTTGGAATGAATCCAACAAGTAGTTGTTGATATTTCAGTCTAGACAAGAAGAAGAACATTGTAAAGAAATATTATTTGAATAAAGTTGATAAATGTACTTACAAAACAATGGAAATTGGTTTGTTATCAGTAAATTATAACTCTGTAGTAATATCTACATTTTCCATCAAGCCAGCAGTTAGGGATCAGATCCCTTGTTGCAACATCTCTACATTTTGTAATTTTTTGGGGGCAAAAATCATGTTACACAAGAAATATTTACAATTCAGTACATTAAGCTGTGAAATACTTAACAAAATCTTTACATTTGAGCCATTCAGATTAATAAAAACTAGGCTGAAAACCCATCGCCTCATTCATGGAGAGGTCCACCCTGAGACATGTATTTACAAAATCCACATTACCCTGTGTAAATAGAAATGTGATTGTAAAAGAACTGAAGTATCATCCTTCAAATGCAATGCCTGCTGTGTTTATGTGGATTTGTTGACCGTGCTGTACAATGCAGCTGGATCCTCTTCAGAGTCCTGACCTCTGGTCCTAAGAGATAAATGATGTATTTCTTAGAGGTAATAATAATGCAAAAGGAATTAAATTATATGTGACTAATGTTCCTGTGTGAGGATCTGCTCACCTCGGGGCAGCACTGCTGAACATGACGGCAGCGTACTCCGGGACTTCCTGTTGCTCCGTGTGTCTGAGGGGCTCAGCTGCTCTCATGTTGGAGTAAAGAGGGTCTGCCCGGTTGTTGGAGAAGTGAACGCTGGCATACTGAAGGTCATCCTGCTGCTCCGGCTGATCAGGTACACACTGCAGGGAGGAAAACACTTTCAGCTACACATTTTTACATTAATAGATATTTCATTTACAGAGGAATGGACCCAGGACAGAAAAGGCCAAAGCAACAGCAGCTGTGGTAATGATGGAAAAATATCCCTGCTTCATCAACATGATGCTTTATGACAGAAAAGATTAAAGGATCAAAGATAGGAAAACTTCTGGATGTACTTGAAATGTACTCATGTCTAAGAGGAGAATCAAAGAGATTGTGATAGAAATTAACTTTTTATAGAAGGATGTAAAAAGAGCAGCAAGAGGTCCTTCTATGTCAGATCAATTTTCTATAAGCACTTAAAGACCACCATCATTATAAATTGAGTGTAATATGTTTTCTTTTGTACTAGATTAATTACGTAAGCATCTATTCTCACCTCTTCCCTGTTGTCCGCTCTCTCTTCAGGCTCAGACGAGTCTCTGGAAGCCCTCTTTCTTCTGGTTAGGAGAGTTTATGAAGAAAAAGAAGATCAAATGTTGACACCAGACAAACAGACTTTTAATGATTTAACAAACAATGATTAAGATGATCAGATCTGCTCACCTGATCCACAGGAAGACAGAGAGAGAAATGACAGCCAGGAGAACAACAGGGATTGTTACAAAAGCTGGTAGTAGCTTCCATGATCCTGAGAAACAGTGATCAACAGAGAACAGATGGTTAATACAGCAGTGTTTCTCATATATGGATACAAGGACCCCTAGGGGCACTTTGGAGTATTACAGGGGGGGTGTAATATAATAGATAATAATAGAATATAATTGGAGGGATGAAACCCTCTTTAATGGTCACACTTGCAGAGCACACAGCACACACAGTGACATCTTTTCTCTGCTTTTAACCCATCCTAGTACTAGGAGCAGTGTAAGACTATATTTTCAACCTTCCTATTCCTAAAAAAAACAAAATCAAAAAAACTATAATTTGTTGTAAAAGTAATGTTAATAAAAAAACTCTTGTCCAATGTTCAAGAAGCTGAAACAAATGCAAATACATTCATGATATTGTTAGTTTTGTGATGAATGGGTGATTATACTCCATTCATTATTTCCTTCTCAATACCGATGGAATATATTTCAGCCTGTGGGCACTTGCACTTGCACTTGGCATAAGCTTCACAAAACAGACACAACTCTCACTCTTGAGTGCACAGGGAATGACTGCACCCCATACTGAATCTGGACCCTCAGGATAATTATTCCCTTATGTAAAAGAAAGAAAACAACCCCTATCCCGAACCGGAAAGGTACATTTGAACACACACTCCTTTTTCAGCCTCCTACCCAGACTATGTGACTGAAAACAAACAAGCTGATAAGTCTGTGGTTGTAGATGAATGCATAAAACGTACCTGTCACAACAATCTGATGAAATATGGAGTTACTACGTCCTAACTTGTTCTGGGCTCCACAGGAATAACTCCCACTGTGTTTAGCTCTGAAGTCGATGATGATGAAGATCTGTCCTGAAGCTTTTGGAGAGTCTTCATTCTTCTTGTACCAGGTGTAGTTAGCTGCTGGGTTAGCATCACTGCTACAGGTCAGAGTCACTGAACTGCCCTCCTCTATATCAGCAGATGGACTCACTGACACAGAGGGGAGCTTTGGAGCATCTGGAGGAGATGTGTTTAAAGTTATTAACATTAAAGGGTAGATATAATGGCAACTTGCAAATGTCCAGAGACACAAAGCAAGAAACGTTTTTCACAAACACAAAGCAAAACATTTTAAAGCTTGGAGCATCTGGAGGAGATAACATGAACACATTTCACATTTAATTCCACGGTGGAAGATATTTTAATGAATAATAGTTTAATAAAACACAGAGTGGGTGGTTAACTTAATTCCATCCTTTATCAGAAATCTAAACACTTTGAGGGAAAGTGTTAATCTTTATGTCATGGAAGAAGTTTCCTTCATAGTTCTCCTTTATTCTTCTTTCTAGTAGCATCCCTCGTAGCAAGAGTATATTTTACCTATTTTAAAATCAAACAGAAAACCTAGAGCCCTGCTTCAGTGTCTTTGGACACTGCCATGTCTGCTGGGGACCTCTGGTGGGTAAATAGATAAATGAGTGCAATGATGATATATGTTATACTGTATGTTAATGTTATTATGTTAGTGGAAGACTTTGAGTAAACTCACACACTGAAGGAGAGGGGAAGTCCTCATATCCCTTTAAAGCACAGGAATAACTGTCTGCTGAGTCATATCTGAAGTCTGCATAAGGAGATGTGTCTTTCTTCACTTCCTGTCCATTCTTAAACCAGATGTAGTTAGTTTGACCAGGTGAACAACTGCTGAGACACTGAAGGAAAGTAGACCATCCTGATCTGCTCACCTGGAGATCTGAATAAAGGTACAAACATAAAAAAAAAGATCAATAATGTTCATGTATCAAAATTAAAATAAAAAGTTAAATGTTTTAAGAGTACAATTTCAGATACCTGTGACGGACAAAGTGACTGGAGGACCCCAGTATGCATCTAGGTTTGTTTTGATCCAGAACCAGTACACAACTGAGTCGCTCTCTCTCAGGTTTCTGATTCTCAGAGTGCAGATGTTGTTTCCACAGAGATCCTCTACACGACCTGAATACTCTGAGTCTGTGGTCAGATCTACAGGTTCACCACCTTTCTGTTTAATGAACCAGAATGTTTTCTTAACTGTGTCAACACTGCCTCTCCATGTAGCTGCATCTTATCTCCACTGTTGATCCTTTCACTGCACAGATCTCAGTAGAAGAGTAAGTCAATCCCCAATCCTGACCCTGAACCACTGAAACACAGAGCACATCAGAAACTATAATCAAAGTTAATCTATAAATTGTTGAGAAATTGCCTGAACAGTACTTTCAACAAAGAATGTAAAAATAAACATTTTACAAACTTTACTGGGATAGAGCAGAAAAACACATGTGAATTCCTTCTCAGACACTTTAAAACCAATGATACTCTTTGACTTTGTTGTTTCTTAATCAAACCAGGTAGAACAGAAGTCTACGCAAAAAGGGTACGGTCAGTTTAACACAAGATTGGAAAATGCCTTCATATAAATGAACAGTGAATGATTAGCGATCATATTAATTAGAATAGTGTGAGATTCTCTGAACAGTTTCCTCTCTGTTCGCTCTGTGGTCAGGTTGCTGCTGAGGTAAGTGTGAACAAGAACAATAAATGCAGAACACTGAGGTGTGAGCAGCTTCTGTCTGATATACAGATGAGAAAAGAAGAAGACTGCTTTTAACTCAGAGTGTGAATATAACTCTGAGGTCAGAGAGGAGAGAAGGAACTAGAAGGGTTTGGTGCAGAGGTATGATCCATAAGAGTTGAGTCAATATGTTATGACTTAGATTAAGAATATCTCTCTAAATCACTTAAACTTAATAAAAACAGAGCTGGAGATTCTTTAAGTCGTCTTAAGAAAAAACAAAGCAAAATGTTTTCACAGAGAGAGGATGGAACAGTTATGCATACACTATATCCTCATTTTAACGCTTGTAAAAGTGAAAAGCAAACTGGTATTGTATGCAGATGATTGGAGCAAAGGACAGTGGCAACGCACAACAAGATCTTCAGAAAATCCATCAAAAAAACTAGTAACGTCTTTGAGTTTCTACAATTCTACACACAAATACATTTTAAATGTTTCTGCTAGGTTTGCCTTTTACACAAATCCATCCCACTTATTCCCACATGTGACCTGATTTTACAAGTCCCACATTTCCCCCAGAATCCCCTCTGTTCATGTGATGAATGTAAGTGTAGATGTACAGTACCTGACACAGAGAGCAGGAAGACAACTAATCCACTCGCTGCTGCAGTTAAACTCATAGCTGCCTCCTCTCATCTCTGTGAGACTATAAAACATGTCAGATTAAATAATGTTCACAGGAGGTATACAGAATCATTACATCAAGAAACTGTTTCTACTCACAGTGAAGGAGGAACCATGTGTTGAAAGATGCCTCTCCTCTGTAGCAATGAGCAGAAGACGGATATCAGGCTGGTAAGAGACTAGGTTTACTTCCTCTTTAGATTATTAATATGCATGATGAGCCTATTACCAGTAACACCCACCACACAATAAAGTAATGTTTTTTAACAAAATATCAACTTTTCTTGAAAAAGAAAAATATGGTTAAAGACACGTTTGGTGCTTATATACTACTCACTGCTTATATGCTACTGACTCAGGGAGGTGGATGACCCGAGGGTAAGGCAGAGGCAGAGAAGGTCTCGACACAGAACATTACCTTTGTTGAAGGTTGTCTTGATATACAGCGTACAAACCAGAAATCACTTCTTAGTAATCTCAAAGAACCCACAAAACAAACAGAAAAAACAGAACTTAAATTCATGCATAACGAATCAAAGGACAAGACAGAGCTAGGCAGGGCAGGAAAAACACAATGGTACCCAGTGAACAGAATCAAAAATCAAAAAGGAGGGAAAACACAGAGACAGGAAGCAGACACAGACATAAGACAGGAGGTGAACACTTTTTAAAATAAAACAGGAAAACAGACAGACCGTCACAAAGGGGGAAATAAGTGTTTTAGTTTGGGTGAGCTGACCCTTTAAAGCAGACGGTGGAGGAAGCTCTCTGAGTGATGACGCCTGAATGTGTCTCACTTAAGATCCTCCACTAGAGGACAGTGAAACATCAGATACTGAATCAGGACCCTGAGACACATTCTAACATCCATCAGTGATTGTTTTGACAAATCTAAATGCATATTTTGATTTTAAAGATCAAATGAGTGAAACCTATTGCCATTTTAGTCTTTTAACATTAGAGGTAATTTACTGTATAGTAGACTTACACTTCACAACGAGGACCAACATCTTTGACATATTGGAAAGCAACTCTTTACGTGTTTTACTGGAATAACGACTCATAATCAGGGCGTTGCTCAAGCTTTTCCAAATTGACTTTTCTCCAGCACGGACCACTCCTCAACAATATGTCAGTTC